CTTTATACTACTTATTCCTTTTCAATTCCCATGTATACCAAACATTGAAATTAAAATTACCAGTAATTATATTCCTGTAAACCAAACACTGAAATTTAAATTTTCACTTTATTTCCAATAATTCATCTCGCATAAAATTGCAATTCTTTTCCCACGTAATTCCCTCCCTCCATCCAAACGGCCCGTTAGTTCCTACCCACATGTTCTCTAAACACAAAAATGTATATGAAAATGTTTTAAGTGAAACTAGTCTCAAATATGTAATACCTTTTAATAAAAATGTCATATTTTTCTATGAGTTAACAAATAATACATTTTTACTTAAAAAATATTACTTACTCCTTAAAAAGTATTAATGAAAATGTAATATTTGTTTACTTATACAAAAATATTACATTTTAATTAACATCAAGGCAAACTTCCAAGTTTTCCCAATATTCTATTCCTAATTTCCAATGTGGTTATGTGGATCAGGAAAAGCTTCCAAGTTTTTCCAATATTCTTGATGTGGATATTGTGCGTCCTGGTGCACGATATAATTTGCCAGGACATGGGACCTCGGGGGTCATTTTATTGGGAATATCTTGATCCAATTGGGGATGGTGAAGGAAAGCGTTAGTCCAATTGGGGATGGTGAAAGAAAGAGGTTGGCCCAAATCTTGTTAGACTAAGAAGACATGGTGGTCCAAAAAAGGAGAGAGAAAGAGTTCGTCTGACAAACTGACAGGCAGGGCGTGGCTGGCGGTGGTGGAACGAGTCACGCTGGACCGATGGTGCCCCATCGACGGGCTAGGTGAAGGTGACTGCACAACATTACTTAGCTTGGAGTAAAAAAAAAAAAAAGATACCCTATCAACATGTTTTAAACCTGAGACCTCAGGCATAATTGCACACCGCTCCCACCAGACCACTCCATCATTTCTTTACATAGGCCCTGTTTCTTATATTGAGTATTTATTGCCGCATAGCATGCGCACCTCAACCCACTAGACATAGCTGGCAGATTCACTATCCGTCGGCCACGACTAGGAGTGTGCAAACTTCAATAGATTTTCAGTTAACTAATCGAAGCGACAAAGTTCGGTTAATCATTTTTTACCCGAATGGTTAAAGGTTTTTTAAAATTTCGGTTAACGGTTAATTCGATTCGAAACTGTCGGTTAACCGAATTAACCGAACGGTTAACCAAAATTTTAAGTATATATATATATATATAAATCTAATATGTAAAGTCCCAATAGGTTTGTAATGTTGTTATGATATTGTTTTTGTATATTTTCTTATTGATTTACTATTATATGTATTGTTTTGATTGGATTTATTATTATACGTATAATTTTAGGATTTAAAACTTTAGCTTAAAAAAATCAGTTAATCGGTTAACCGAAAAAAAAATCAGTTCGGTTAATTCGGTAATACAAAGTTTGGTTTGGTTTGGTTAACGGTTAAAGTTTTAAAAACTTCTGTTAAAATGGGTCGGTTAACCATTGAACAAACCTAGCCACGGCGCCCCTGACGGGCCTAAGGTGCCCCATGGTGTGGCGATGGTGCCTCGCTGGAAAGGACGTGCAGTATTGAAGGCGTATGGTGGCGAGTGGTAGCATGGCGTCTGGGTGCTGGCTGCGTGGTGGCATGGTGGCAACAGGGAGAGGGGTGAAAGGTGCATGGCGGTGGCAGCCGGGTAGCGCGGTAGTGGCAGACGCTGGGCGCCGTAAGGCATCGACGGGGTCACTGGAGGGCGCGACCGCCACCAGGGTTGCGCCCCGGCGGCTTGCTCTCTCGCCCGGGGTGGCGGTTGGGCGTCTATAATGGCGTCGCTCGGGACATACGGGCGTGCACCCGCCGCACCCGTGTCCTGGGCGCACCTGGCCTATCCGGTTGTGCTTATCCCTCGCGCCTATCGCGAGGTTCCCGGGCATGTTGCCACGTGGCGTTTGGCGGCTGGGATGGTTGTTGAGGCAGTTAGCGATGGGGACGACGTGGGACGTGTGTCTGGCTAGAACTGATAGGCCATGGATGGTGTACACGTGGGTGGTTTGGATTGAGCTGTTGACAATATAAAAAAGGTGTGGTCTGTATAAGACACACCTCAAGACATAACTATTTCTATGATCAAGTAATTTGGTTTCCTTTTTTTTTTTTTTTTTTTTTTGCAAGTATACCTGGGTTTGAGTCCTATTGATAACATATTTAGTTTTGTTTTATTTATTAGTCCCTAGCTTATTTATATATTCGTTGGATCGCCATTCTTGGGCCGGTCTATTGGGATTTGTATTTATTTTATTGGGCCTCACACCCATGACAATAAGAGTATTATTTTCATACCCATGTTCTATATTTCTGTACCCGATTTATGGTTGACTTGGTCTCGATAAAACCATCAATGCTATTCCTAATTTTGTAGATATATTCCATTAATGTCAATTTTCCAATATCTTTGATATCCAAAGCCACCATGGGATAATTGAAAGGTAAATTACGATAACTTAGCAGTTCATCAGGTTGGAGGATCAATATCTGGTGTTCACGAGGAGCTATCACATTGAAGTGACTGTTAAGTTTAAATCATGTGTCATTTCCTACAATCTACCACATAAAAAATAACTGAGCTGCTCGAGCAAATTTTGTTCTCAATTTCTTCCTTATATTTTGAATTAGTTCTCAATTTATCTTTTAGTAGTAGTTAGAATAATGCAATTAGTGTTTTTTTTTTAATTTATTGCTCCATTCGGACCATTCCTACCATATACTCCATAAAATCCCCCCCCCCCCCCCACACACACACACACATATACATATACATATACATATACATATACATATATATATATATATATATATATATATATATATATATATATATACACACACACACACACACATCCACATCTACAATTCTAATAAGAGCCAATAATATTAAGTCCTTAAATTGAACAAAAAAAAATGTCGGTAGTATTGTTTCTTAAAATGAATGGTTCATTTATTTTGATTTTAATATTTTTTTAATGATTTTCCTTATTTACCCTCTATTATATTATTTTCTTTCCTTAAATAACATAAATTCTGTTAGAATAAACTTTAGTAACGGAATATTCCGTTAACTATTTATTATTTTTAACTTATATTCATTAATTTCTATAAGAAAGGTCATAGGTTCGAACCCCATCCCAATTAGAATTGGCATAATTGTTAAACATGTACTACGAATATGTTAAAATATATTTAATATATATATACCAAGACTATGTGGTCTAATGGTACTCGGGTTGGACTTCCATTTGGAAGGTTGTGAGTTTGAGTCTCTGTAATATAATATAATATAATATTTAACATAAGCTTTGTTCAAATAATTAGTCCGGCTAAATACGTAAAATTCAAAGATTATAAATCAAGAACTTTAAAAATCATTTGATTTTTATGCATTTAGAAAAAAAACAAATTTAGGTTAAGTTTTTTTTTTTTTTTTTTTTTTTCGTTTAATTAATCTTATTTTGATTATTTAGATCAAAACAAAACTTAATATTTCAATTATACTTTTGCATTATTGGTATGATTTAGGTTGTTATGATATTAATATTTTTTGTATGTATTTTTATAATGGTACAATTGTACATTACTTTACAAATATTATACTATTATTTTTTTTGTCAAACAAAATTGTTCTTACATTATTGTCAGGCCTGCGCGACCTAACTACAAAGTTGTTGATCATAAATACAATTACACCTGGACTTTAAAACGGTAGAACCATTTTTCTAACTAATTGACAATGTTGACATTCCATTGGTTTCAATTGAACAAGTTTACACATCAGAATTTTATCGATGCATGAAAACTTCTAAAGAAATTTGTAACTTAATTTTTACTATATATTATAACAATATCTATTGTGACTATATATTTTGAATTGTTTATTATCATCCTCTATTGACAGGAATTGTAACAATTGTCATTGACAAACTCTCAAAACAATTTGTCTCAACAGCGAATGTAAATTAAAAAAAAAAATCAATGATTTCAGTATTGTTGATGAAAAGTATGTACGCCACTTTATTACTCTTATTAAATTAAATAAAGTAGTAGCTACAACAAAAAATAATACATATGCATTTAATTAATTTAGAATTAGATGTCTTAATGCCTTTATTTTTAAAAATTATTCATTATAAAAATTTTAAAAAGAGATATAATTTCATTAGTTATAATATCTTTATTTTCTACAATTCAAAGATTCATTACCTTCAAATTTATTAATTTATTATATTCACTACATTGTCTATTGTCTTCTCTTTTACATTATCTTGTAATTAAATATCAAAGTTATGTTTTCAAAAAAAAAAATTATCAAAGTTATAATACAAAATATGTTATATATATTTATTTACCAAATATTTTATACAAATATAATAAATATTAATATTTTGTTGAATAATTTCACATGATAACCTACGACACACATCTCACAACGCATGAAACATGTAAGGGAAAAACTACCACTACCAAACATCAATAGGTGCTTGTAAGATAAAGAGTTAATAGTACAACTAAGATCTCATCATATACCACATTAATTTGGGAGCATCCTTGGCTCCAAGATGATAGCGACCATATGATCCATATAGAGATGCCACCAGAACTGTCGGGATCTAAAGTGATACGCTTGATAGACCAGGAAACATGCCAATGGGACCCGCAGATACTAACAGATATATTCCAATCGAGTGATGTGGCTAGAATTTTGAAAATTCCCATCTCACCAAATTATGAAGATGCATGGTACTGGCATGGGGACCCGAATGGTAACTACACGGTCAATGATGGGTATAAACTGGTTGTTGGGAACTACAACATGGCTAATAATGGGACTTTTGATAAGTGGCTTAATTTATGGAGCCTAAAAATCCCGCCCAAGTGGAAGATATTTTTATGGAGAGCTTTAAATGATATCCTCCCTACAACCAATAATTTGCTTATAAAGAGAGTAGAGGTTGATCCGATTTGTGCCATGTGTGGTGTTGAAAATGAAAGTGTAATGCATTCATTGGTTTTGTGTGGATATGTTAGTTCCATATGGGCACAATCCAACCTTCCTATCCCCAATGTTATAACAAATATTTTCCATGAATGGTTTAGTGCATTGTTGAATGTTCTAGACACTAATGGAATTATGTTCGCAGCTGCTATACTTTACCATTTATGGAGAACACGAAATGGAGCAATTTGGGATGCTTGTCTCTCGAGGCCCGAAAGAGTGATTGCCGCCGCAACAACCACCATGCAAGCATGGAGACAAGTCCACTCCATAGCTTCACTACTGCCGGTTGCTGCTGCCATCGACGTGACCGAACCAGTGCTGCTAGAACACGCCTCGCCAGCTGCTGCTGATCTGCCGCCACAAGCTGCTGCTGCCAGGCCGCTCCATTAGTCCATTGCTTTATAGATGCCGGCTACCGACACTAGAACAGTACGGCAACGCTGGGGGCAGTATTACTAGATGCCGACGGCGTATATATCTCGGCCATGGGTGCCCCTCTTCCAGCTTGCTTCTCGCCTCTAATGGCCGAAGCAATGGCGTGCAAAGAAGCTTTAGCATGACTACGAGACCGTGGGGAACAAATGATTCGGATACATACGGATTGCTGTACATTACAAGGGAATTTATCCTCATCAATTGCTTCGTCCCATTCATATGTTGGTTACGCTTTGGAGGCATGCAGAATTTACATGTCAAGCTTTGACGTCTTTTCTATTGTTTTTGTTCCTAGAGCTCAGAACTATTTAGCTCATAGTTTAGCCTCTACTGCTTTTGATTTTACTGCGACTATGTTTTGGGACACTGTCCCTCCTGATTCTATTTCAGCATATATAAAATATAACCTCATTGGTTACTTTTCAAAAAAAAAAAAAAAAAGATCTCATCATATACACAACAAGGCAAATCTAAAGCTTCCTACACCATAATCTCATTGCATGATGAATCCATTTATGCTACCACCAGTAACCCAATTGCATATGACACACTACCAATAAAAAAAAAGAGGATTTGTACTGAAGATGAAGACAATGAAAATGCTACCAAAGGGAGAATTAAGAAGAATTAGAGAAATTTAAACCAAAAGTCGTATTTATTTAGACTATCGTTTTTAAACTAAGTATTTAGACTAGCATTATTACAAAGTTGCAAACATTTATTTTAGTGACAATAAAATCAATCTCTCATATATTATCTTGCATTTATATACTTTAAATTACCGATTTAAATAAACAAATTCAATATTTATTTATCTATGCACGAACATCTCCGATATAATATTGCATTGATATACTTTGAAATACTTATTTAAAAATAATCATTGTGCATTATTTCATTCGCGCAAAGCGCGTAAAAGAACCCGGTATATATATATATATATATATATATATATATATATATATATATATATATATATATATATATATATATAGAGGCATTGTTGTAATTTTGAGTAAGTAAGTCAGATTGTCTTTGTATCAGAGTGCACAAATTTTATTCTTCGAGTGCACATGTTTCCTTCTTCAAGTGCATATTTCTCTTCTTCGAGTGCATCTATTTTGTTTCAATACATAGTATCTCCAGGTGCACGTTTTGTAGCCTTCAGGTGCATGTTTTTCTGTCTAAGAGTGCACAATAAATTTTATTCGAATTTACCCTTATAGTGTCTTTTTTTCCTTGCATTCTAGTGATCTTTTTTATGCCTTTAAGTGCTCAATTTCATGCCTACAAGTGCACGTGTGTCTTACTATTGTGTAAAATAAAAATAAAAATACTTAGCATTCAATTGAACCTTTTTTTTCCCTTCAAGTGCATGTTTTCCTTTCTAAGAGTGCAAAATTAATTTCTTTCGAATTTTCCCTTTTAGTGTCTTTTTTTTTTTCCTTGCCTTCTAGTGATCCTCTTTATGCCCTCAAGTGCTCAATTTCATGCCTACAAGTGTACGTGTATCTTACTATTGTGTAAAAATAAAATAAAATAAAATAAAAAATACTTAGCATTCCAATGAATCATTTTTTTCCTTTTAGTGCATGTTTTAGCTTTCAAGTGCACATTTTGTAGCCTTCAAGTGCATGTTTGCCTTTGAGTGCATGTTTTTTGCCTTCAAGTGCATATTTTTATGCCTGCAAGTGCATTATTTTTTTTTTGGAGTAAATACTCAAAATGGTCCCTCGACTATAGCTAAATTCACAAATTGGTCATCGACTTTTAATTTCAACCAATTAAGTCCTTAACTTTGTAATTTTAACACAATTTGGTCCTTTGTCTATTTGACCGTTTGTTGACTGTACTTTTTTAGGATATATATGTAATTTCATGGTCCATCGTCGGTTTTTTAAGGTTCCGGTTGCATTTCTAGACCGCACTGTTACATTTGAATCCACTGTCGGCGCTGCACCCCATGCCGGAGAGATTATAGCTATTGATAGATAGATCGCCGAAGTCCCTGGAGTGGCTCTTCGAGAAAGCCGTGACTCCAAGCGATGTAGGCAAGCTGAACCGGCTCGGGATCCCCAAGCAGCAAGCGGAGAAGCACTTCCCCCCTCCGAAACGGCGCTGTCACCTCCAAGAGAGTTCTCTAAGCTGAACCGGCTCGTGATCCCCAAGCAGCAAGCGGAGAAGCACTTCCCCTCCGAAACAACGATGTCACCTCCAAGAGCGTTCTCTTGAGCTTTGCACGTGAAACTACATATATATCCTCAAAGATCGAGGACAACAAACGGTCAAATAGATGGAGGACCAAATCGTGTCAAAATTGCAAAGTTAAGGACTTAATTGGTTGAAATTTAAAGTCGAGGACCAATTTGTGAATTTAGCTATAGTCGAGGGACCATTTTGGGTATTTACTCCTTTTTTTTGGCTTCAAGTGCACAATTCTGGGTAAGTATTTGTTATATCTTTTGCATTCTTTTCAATAATATATAACTAAATTTCTAATGAAATTTGTGAGATTTACAAACGATTTGTATGGGTAATTACTTTAATAACACTTAAGTTGAATAACTTCCCTTTTTGGTACCATAAATTGCATGAATTGCACATCTATTTACCTTCAAGTGCAGAATTTTTTACTTCAAGTGCATGGTTTTGAGCTTTCAAGTGCACAAAATTTATTAATTTGGATGAATTCAATGGTTGAGATAGTCATTCGCACATGATCCTATATATATATATATATATATATATATATATATATATATATATATATATATATATATATATATATATATATATATATATATATATATATATGATCAAATCTAGATCAACGGCTCAAATCAATGAAAATTATATAATAAAAAAAAACGCGTGCGAAGAAAGAAACATAAGATGAAATGGTGCACCTTAAGTGATAGAAATACGCACCTTAAATGTTAGAACAACAGACCTTAAGTGTTAAAATGGTACACCTTAAGTACTAACATCACGCACCTTCAGTTTATAACTGACGCACCTTAAGCATACAAATCATGCACCTTAAGAAGGAAAACAACGCACATTAAGAAGGAAAACTACGCACCTTAAGTTTCAACAACTACTCACATTAAGCACACAACCAACGCACCTTAAGCAGAAATCCACGCACCTTAAACACAAAACCCACGCACCTTAAACACAAAAATCACGCACCTTAACTTTGACCTAGATGCAAAAATTACGAAATTGCCACCGATTTTTTTTTTATACATTTTTTTTTAAATTTTGATAATCCTTGACGTTGATTTAAGCAAGATCAATGACTTAGATTTAACTGCACAACCACACGGGAGACACCCAACAGCACCAGAACATATATATATATATATATATATATATATATATATATATATATATATATATATATATATTATTTTTATGAAATTTTTTATTTTGTATGCATTCTGTTGTTGAAGAATAAATATCAGAATTTGTCTATTTTATTGTTTTGTGTCAATGGTTTGAGCTAGTATTTTATGTTTTTTATATGAGGGTATATTTTTAGGGGATGAACAAGGAATGTGACAGCCTGCCATAACCACCCTCAACCAATTCTGTTATTTGTAAACTCTGTTAACTTTGTAATCTCTCTGAACATATATAAGCCTTTGGCTGCTTCTTTGATGAACTATGAGAAAATATCCTTTTTGTCTTTGTTTCTCTGGCTTCCATCTTCCTCTGTCTCAGTTACACAACATGGTATCAGAGCTCCCTTAAGGAGTTTACGGAAGATCGAGGAACCACCATGGCAGCATGGCCGCCGATCAGCACACGAACAACTCCGACAACTCTAATCGACAACACAGCGGGAGGTCCGGCGCCAGCACCTGCTCCTTCAACCTTACCGAATGCACCAAACGCAACAGAGGTATCTCTAGATTCGCAAACACAATCAAATCCATACTTCATGCATGCTAATGAAAATCCGGCCTTGGAACTAGTATCTACGCTGTTAGATGGTCCAAACTATCACCCTTGGGCTAGGGCTGTGACAGTACCATGGCACTATAATGCACGAATAAGCTTGTGTTCGTAGACGGCACTATCACTAAACCTTCCAGAGACGACCGGAAATATCCCTATTGGGAGCGCTGCAACAATATGGTAGTTACTTGGCTGGTTCGATCCTTATCGCTGACGATTGGCGAGATCGTTCTCTGGATTGATACAACATATGGAGTGTGGAGAGATTTGAAAAAGAGGTTCAGCCAGCAAGATCTGTTTCGAATCGCAAAAATCAAATGCGAAATCTACCAAACCAAGCAAGGAGACAACTCATTGAATGAGTATTGATACTGCTAATTACACGTAAGCAATATATAACAACACGAGACCAATTAAAGCAAGTAAATATCTTTATTGATCGCGGTAAAGGCCCTAAGTACAATCTACTTGGTTGCTCTGAGTGCCGACCGACTGCGGTCGGGATTCTCTAACAACAACCTATCGATCGTCCAAAAGTCCCTTACACTGTAGCTACTGTGGGTATTTATAGCCGCTATGCCGGGGACAAGATTCCAGCCGTTCGGCATGCCCTCCACGTAGCTACCATGTGTCATCCTCCCGGGTGCCCTGCCTGTCGATGTAGAGAGCCGCCACGTGTCCTTCGTCAGCTCTTTCGCCAAAGGGCTATCGCTCGGTGGTCGACACCGTCGCTCGGGCAACTCCCGGTCGATCTACGACCGGGTTCTTCTCGTGGAGCCCGACCTGTTACCTGCAAAGACAAGGAGAAAGCGACAAAGGCTCCTCGGTCGTGGTGAAGCTACGTCGGTCGGGATATTCCCTACCAAGAGCCCCCCAGCCCGGGCCTTTTTGATCGTCCGGGAAAAAATGGGCCGGGATGGAGAATCCCAACCATCGGCCGCTGAACCGACCGGCCAGCTGTCATTCCTTTCTCCGCCACGTGTCGGCCACTGCCGGCCTTCTGCGATTGCAACCGTTGCCTCGGAATCAGCGCGGGTCGTGTCGCGCAAGTGGACGACTTTCCCGCCTAAATGTCCTCCTATAAATAGGCCCTTGAGGCCCTCATTTGAACTTTCCTCAATCTTCTGAAGCAATCGGTACCCTCGGAGAGTCCCGAGCAGCAGATCAGCAATCCGACCAAGCAAAGCAAAACTTCAAATCCTCTTCAGTTTCTTCACTCGGTAAGCTCCTAGCCCTTCTCCTTTCTTTACACTTTCATGTTAGGTAGAGCTGCTAGGTCAACTAACTGTCCCGGACACTTTAAGTCCTTCACTAACCCCGACCGACCTTTAGGTAGATTGAAATGACGGATTCTGACAGCCAAAACGCATCGATCGCGGATTACGACGAGGAGGTCGAGCGCCTCAGCGACGAGGAGGTGGACATCATGTCCTACTCCCCCGAAGCTACCAGCCGACCGGGGCCAGCTCCCGAGCAGGCCGCCGCACAAGACACGTCGTCTAGCTCATCCGGGTCGTCGAGCTCTAGCTCAAGCGGATCGGGGAGCTCCGACGAGGAAGAAGAAGAAGGAACCACGTCGGGGAGACAAGGATCCCCGACCGAAGGCGTTAGGGAAACGCCCACCCGGGTGGTTGGGGACCACCCGAGTCCTGCTCCCGAGCCGGCCGAAGAGGACACGGCCGGGCCAGCCGCCCCAGCCGTAGCGGAGTTCGAATTCTTGAACAGCGAGAATGTCGAACAACAAATGAGTCAGCTAACCAAGGGCGAGGCGGCTAGGATTGCCGAAAGGCTCGTGGGTCGGGTAGAATTTGACACGAGCCGGCAGTTAGGGAATGTCATCGATCGGCATCGGGGCAAATGGATTGGGATGCACTACGACTCCCTGATGGCCCCGATCGCCATTCCCTTCACCCCCCTCCTGAATGCCTTCCTGGCCTACTACCGGGTCGTCCCGGCCCAGATCTGCCCTAATGCGCACCGGATCATCGCCTGCTTTCCGCAGATATGCGCTCGGCATGAAGCCGCCTGCACGATGGAGCTGTTCAACTTCATCTACTAGGTCAAAGTTCTCCCGGGCAACTATGGAGGCGGGTTCCTGATGTTGCAATCCCGGGCCGATATGTGCGCAATCAAAGGCCTGCCCGGGAACAACAGGGGGTGGAAGAATAGGATCTTCTCCCTCAAATACGACCCCTGGATCCTCCCGGTTGATCGCGCTTGGAGCACCCACTTTCGGAAACAAGTGGTGCCGGTCGAGACGCAAGCGCTGAGGGAAACGGTCAGCCAGATTTCGAGCGAGCTGCACGAATACACAATCTTCCGGACGGCTGAAAGTCTCGAAGCGGCTCAACTCCCGCCCCCCACGTACGAGCTGCAGGAAAAGTATCTGCCCGTGCCGATGGGCGTGACGGTCGCCAAACCCGCGAGGCGAACGAAGAAAGGTTTAACTCGAGCTAACCCTCCCGACTCATCTTTATGCCTCGATCACACTAACGATCTCTTTATTTTGCAGCTATGGCAGACTTCGGTGAAGAAGAGGCCCCGCTTCCCCCGCCCGCCAAGATCTCCCTTGGCGGCAAGAAGAAGAGCAAGGCGAAGCCGGCCGGGGAGAAGGAGGTCCCCTTGGCCCGACCGCTGAGTACCTCGACCGTGACGACGGCCGAGGGCTTCATCGTCGAGCCCTCCGATGTCCTGGTCACCCGGGTGGAAGTCGCCCGGGGAAAAGAGAAGGTGCCCGAGCAGGGCGTGTAGGAGGTGGGCGGCATGAAACGCCGCCGTGAGCAACGAAGCCCGAGCCCTTCGGTCGGGCGAGAAAGGGACGGCTCGTCCATCTTGGCCCGCATTGGCAATGCGGGGCGGGCCAAGGAAGATCTGGGGAAGATGACCCCGACTCAGGTTGCCGAGAGGATCGGCTACGACCTAGCAGAGGTAAGCCTTCTTTAACTATCCATCTTTCATTTCCTGTGCAAGTGCCTTCAATCGGGCTAACCCGTCTATTTTCACCTTCGCAGATCTCCCGAGCGGCCCAACTCCTTCAGGGCCGGGCTATGCTGGCCGAGGAGGCTGATCACCACAAGAAGACGGCCGCCCGTCGCCTTCTGGAGGTTAAAGAGCTCCAAGCTGAGCTCGAGAAGGTCCAGAAGGCCTTGAAGAAGAGCGAGGAGGACCGGGCCCTCGCGGAGAAGGTCGCCCAGCGGGCTATCGGCGAGAACAAGGAGCTGAAGACCCGGCTGGAGAGCCCGGAGGAGCTGGCCCACTCGGCCTTCAAGGACGACCAGATTGGCTCGGCCTTCCTCACAGCTGCTCGGGGGACCAAGGTCGGGGAGGACCTGATTCTCTCCTTTGGTCGGTGGGCCTTCAAGGCCGGCCAAAGGAAGATGCTCGAAAAGGCCCAGAAGCGGCTGGGGGAAGCCCTCGAAGGCGACGACCTCCAGCTCGTACTATCTGCCCTTCCTCCCGACCTAGCTGATCCCGGCCCCTCTCCCTTTGCTCCGAAGGAAAGAACGGCTGAGCCCGGTGGAACCTCAGCGGCCACCCCGAGCGGAAAGGATACGGCTGCCGGAGCTCGGGAAACGAAGAAGTAGAATAGGCTTCTTTTCTTCTTCTTCTTTTTTGTAAAGACCATTGATCGGGAGCCCGGTCCCGATTTGTACCGGGCACTCCATTATATCAATGAAACTTATTTTTGTTAAACTCCCACCGCTCGTTCTTTCTTTCCGAATTTTTATCATTAGTCACGTAAACGCCTACCCTTATTGCTCGACCTCGCGGCCTTTTTGGCCCGGCCTTGCACTGCTCGATCCGTTCGACAGTCGACCTTATGGCTTTATAGCCCGGTCATGCGTCTGAGATTCCGACATCAAAACTAACCAACCTGATCAGGTTTATCCGATCTTCAGGCCTTGTCGAAATTCCTGAAAATAGATTCGTCCTAATATTGACCTATCCGACCAAGTTGACCCGGTCTCCAGGTCTTGACGAATTTTCGAAAAACAAGCCCCACGGTCAGGATATACCGAGCGATATGGGCCTATCAATACTTCATATATCCCTGTGCCTTCGAGGCACGCGTGGG